GCAGCACATTGTCTAGACCAAGTTCCTCTACTTATAAGCAGCCAATGGGCATCTTAGGCTTCATGTGGGCCCACAAGTTAGGGCAGTGGAGGAGAGCTCTGACATGGACTATGTTGCCTGCTTCTTGATTACTTCCCCCTGATGGACCCACCCTACTAGTCCACAGGGGAGGAAGACAAACTCAGTCTTCATCCTGAATAGATGAGGAAGGGTGTCTGGGTATGGTGAGCTTTGGGGAAGGGTATGCGAACTGAGGGTGAGACTGGGAGGAGAGGGGGAAGGAGCCTATGACCAAGATATAAACTGAATTAATAAGAAAATGAAAAAAAAAAGACTTCCATCCTATTACTTCAGATTACCCTTTTAATGAGTATACATGGATTGAATGGAACACAAGGAACTTCACTGTCATGTCAAGGGATTTGTTCAAGACTTTTTTGTTATCCCCCATCCTCTGGACTTCTGGGAAAGTCTGGTAACAACTTCCACTTTGGTGACTGGATTTCAGCATGAGTAACTCCATCATACTATTTACTTGGATCTATTCATTTCCGATGCAAAATATTAATACAAAGCAATAACCATCTGTGCTTTATTTAGCATGTATTTAGCAGAGCTTAAAAGGTTCCTAGTAATTATAAGTCAAAAGGAAGTGGAAAAATAGGAAAGACTTGTGAGATCAGCTGCATGGGGTTATTAAAGATGAAGATTCTCATAGTTGATAGGTTTAATTTTGAAAGCACAGAATATTCCAAATTCTACTGAAGAATTAAGAAATATTTCCCAGAAGTGCATGTATTTGTTCCAATAAAGCACATTTGTTACTTTGTGAAACTATACTCTCCATATTCCTTTACGAGTGTCTTTCATTTAATAAATATAAAATAATCACTTATACATACATCTTTAATACTCAAGAAATTTCTCCAGTATTCTAAATTACAGATACACAATCTACAAAATGCACATACTAGACAGTATATTTTTGCTCTTAAAAACAAAAAACTAACAGGGGTTTCACAGATAAAAAAGCACGCTGCCAAGTCTGGTAACCTGAGTTGATCCACAGAAGTCATATAAAGCTGGAGAAAGAGAATTGTCACTCCTTAAATTTGAAATCTGGCCTCCATGTGATGCTTTTGCATCACACACACACTATAATAAAGTTTAAAAAATAAAAATTAAGAAAAATTAACGTTTCAAGAAAAACAGGTTGTCACTGCGAGGTAAAGAAGGCATTTGTGGTATTAGATTATCCCACTGAGGATTGTATCCATCAGGGTATGCTTCATGATGCAATCATAACAGATAATGCAAAACCCAGACTCTAACAGCAGCTATACTTATTGATAGAGGATTGTACACACAGAACTTGTAATCGGGTAAGGATGTATGGAATTTCAGAAAAGTCACTCCTAGAACTTACCTGGTTTTTAAGACAAATTGAAGGAGACAGTAGTTATTTATACAGTAATTATTAATATGTTAATGACACCACAGTAGATGTTAAAGTCTGGTAAAAGAGACAAGTGGACATAAAAAGTCACAAGGCCATAGAATCAGGAAAAAAAGAGGAACATAGCCCTAACATGTCCAGAAAAGCCTTCAGTCAGCACTTGATGGACAGCATGCAACAATGCCAAGAGGATCCTGACATACTGAGCATTTGTTGATACTTGCCTTTCTTCTTTCCCAGACTATCTTCTACCTCTGGCTCTCTGTCACACATCCAAACATGGTCAGGACTAGTGATCTTTAATTTAATAGTGAAGATTTTTTCAAGTTAAAACATCATCACGACTTGTCAACAGCTGGTGTGTTAGCAAGGTTTTCAGAGCCAACAATGAAGAAAGATAGAATGGTAGATGATGATGATGAAGAAGATAGATAGATGATAGATAGATAGATAGATAGATAGATAGATAGATAGATAGATGACATATTAAGAGATAGATAGATATATAGGTGATAAATTACAAGAAAGGACTCACATAATGACAAAAGGCAAGTCCATGGCCTACCATCTGCAAACTAGAGGATCAAAAATCTTGCAGAATAATGCACTACAAGGTGAAACCTAAGAAACATGAGAACACTGATATAAGTTCTAGAGTCCAAAGGGCAGAGAACTTATACATCTAAAGTCCAAGAGTAGAAGTTGGCCTTGTACAAAAAGAGAGAGACTGGGAACAAGATCAGAGCAAGAGGCGGAGTTAAAGGAGGGAGAAGGAGAAGGGGAAAAAAAGCACAGATGAGAAGAGAGGAGAGGAGAGGAGAGGAGAGGAGAGGGGAGGAGAGGA